CAATGCAATGCGAGGGTGTGAGCGCTGTTAAGGCGCCTCAAATGTGAGGCAATCTGTCAGGAAACAGTGCTGGCAGGGGCGGAGTATGGAAGCGGCTCTTCCCGTGACTGGGCTGCCAAGGGGCCGTACTTGCAGGTATGGCAATGCAATGCGAGGGTGTGAGCGCTGCTAAGGCGCCTCAAATGTGAGGCAATCTGTCAGGAAACTGTGCTGGCAGGGGCGGAGTATGGGAGTGGTTCGTCGCGTGACTGGGCAGCCAAGGGACCGTACCTGCAGGTATGGCAATGAGCTGTGAGGGTGAAAGCTCGTAAATGCGAGGGTGCTTTTGATTGTATGATTGAGTGTGATTTGAGTGTTTAATTTTTATGGTCTCCTCTGAGCGTACCCACCACTGAACCTGGTGGGGATGGGCATCATCCCGCTCTGCTTCAATCTGTCCCTATCTCGTTTCCCTCCTGCTCCTTGCCTTGTCTCCTCCCAGGGAGTGCGGGCGGTGATTTCCGTCTCATTCGAGCGCATTCACCGCAGCAACCTGGTGGGAATGGGCATCATCCCGCTCTGCTTCAAGCCCCTCACCAAGCTCCCTCACTCTTGCCCCCACCTTTTCTGCCTTGTCATACACACCTACAGGGAGTGCGTGCTGTCATCTCCGTCTCATTCGAGCGCATCCATCGCAGCAACCTGGTGGGGATGGGCATCGTCCCGCTCTGCTTCAAGCCCCTCTCATTCCTCCCTCCCGTCCTCCTCTCCCGTCTGCTTTCTCCCACCATCACACCACAGGGAGTGCGAGCTGTCATCTCTGTTTCATTCGAGCGCATTCACCGCAGCAACCTGGTGGGAATGGGCATCATCCCGCTCTGCTTCAAGCCCCTCACCAAGCTCCCTCACTCTTGCCCCCACCTTTTCTGCCTTGTCACACCACAGGGGGTGCGGGCGGTGATCTCCGTCTCATTTGAGCGCATTCACCGCAGCAACCTGGTGGGAATGGGCATCATCCCGCTCTGCTTCAAGCCCGGTCAAAACGCCGAGACGCTGGGGCTGACTGGCAAGGAGCGCTTCTCCTTCTCCCTGCCGCCGGTGGATCAGATCCAGCCCGGCCAGGACGTGGTGGTTTCCACGGACAACGGAAAGTCGTTTACCTGCACCCTGCGCTTTGATACTGAGGTGAGAACGACTGGCCGCGTTTCGATACTGAGATGAGGATAGGATTCTCCTTCTCGCTGCCGCGGGTGGATCAGATCCAGCCGGGGCAAGACGTGGTGGTTTCCACGGACAACGGAAAGTCGTTTACCTGCACGCTGCGCTTCGACACGGAGGTGAGTACCGTAGCCACGCAGAGTATACATGTGAAGGCCCGCAGGGAAGGAGGTGGAGGGTTGGTAGTGGATTCTCCTTTTCACTGCCGCCGGTGGATCAGATCCAGCCCGGGCAAGACGTGGTGGTTTACACCGATAGTGGGAAGAGCTTCACATGCACCCTGCGCTTTGATACAAAGGTGAGTCGTGGAGACACTGGGCGTGTGTGTACATAGGCAAAGGGAGTGGGGCTACCTACACGTTTCGATTCGACAATGAGGTGAGTCGTGGAAACACACAAGGTGCTTATGTACAGGCAATGAGTGCATGCGCCAAGCAGTCAAGCAGTCATGAAGGCAGAGACTGCTTTTTCGTCTCCCTGTCGCCAGTGGATCGGATCCAGCCTGGCCAATACGTGGATATGACTACTCAAAGTGAACGGAATCTTTGAAGTCAAAGTTGGTCTTGATGTTTCCGTGGTTTCTTTCTCCTGCTGTGCTGTGCGTGCAGCTCGAAAAGGCCTACTACAATCACGGGGGCATTCTGCACTTTGTGCTGCGTCAACTGCTGGCCAAGTCCACTGCTGCTTGAGTCGGTTGTTGAACAATGAGCTCTATTACGCACGAATAGGATGGCTTACGCTGGAGAAATATGTGGAGTTGAGCGTGCTGTTACAGTGCATTGGAGGGGTACATCTCTCGTTGGTGTTTTTTGTTGTGGTAGCAAGACCTGGCTTGGAGAATACTGGAAGCAAGCAGCATCATGATGTGGATTTCATGCGTTCATTGCTTCCTGTTCACGCCTTGTCTTTTGGTTATAAGGGTGACTGCTGATCATCATTCAAACATTAGTAACTGTCGAGGAAAGTCAGCACAACAGCTACAATGGATGGGGAAATGCTGAATCCCAGAAGGAAGAGGGAGAAACAACATTCTCATAGAGCACCCATCTTCCTCACATAAATCAGCACTGGTAAGAATGAAGGACAATACAATACAATCCACTTTATTGGGGCACTGAACAGACTGCTCGCAAGAAGAATACAACCATAATTGCAAACAGGCTCAGAAAGTCCCATCACCCTCTCCCAGTAGAATAAACCCCGTCACCCTCTCTCAGTACCCGTCCTGTTGCACCCCCTCTCAGTACCCATCAGTATCGATTGTGGGGATCGATATAAGCAGACGATCCTGCGATATTTGCACTTTCAACGCGTCCTTATGCAAGCCAAGGGAACATTGCTAGGCTGGCGGGCAGGCACTACGGGACAGGAATTTGCCCCTCTCGTCCTGATGCATGCGGAATGCAAGATTCGGCCATTATGTTGATACCACGTGCGACAACGCGGCAAACTATGCGAAATCCTAGAAGTTCGCTATGAATGCTTTAGAAGAATTCGATTATGGTAATTTGTCACGGTACATCTACACTTATGATGGTGATTTACTGGTAAATCGAAACCTTCCTTTATTATCCTTTTTGTATCCACACATCTCTGTCCAAACCTTTCAATTCATTCCACTCCACACGCATCAAGCAGCAACTGAAGTGCCCCAAAAGGTACTGCTTCCTCTCAGTTCACACAACAAATGTGTTCTTCCTGATTTTGGAAATACAGCTTCCTTTCAAACTTCAAACTTTCAAAAACTTCACTTGGGCTCGGCCCTTGGTAGGGCTGAGATTTCCAACAAGAATCATGCATCAAACCATCAACCCTCCACTAACACACAATTGTAGACAGGCATGCACGGCTAGCATATCCAGCTGTGGCAGATGCAAGTATTGCCATGCCTAATATATGTATGGAATAAGCTTCTTTACTTTTTGCTTGTACTCCTCATACTTCCGGCCATATTTGCCAATCAGGAATCCTTCTTCCACTGCTGCCTTCTTGTCAAACAAAATCAGCAGCAAAACCGTTAAAATCCCCCGTCCTGTGCTGCATGTGAGGAGGGTTAAACCAGATGCGACTAGCAACGCGCCACTGTATATCGGGTGACGCACTATCGCGTACGTCCCGCCAGTTTCGAGCTCCGAATCTGTTGGCGGCTTGGGGAAAGGGGAAAGGTTCGTCCCGAGATCTTTGACCGCGTTAGAAGAAAACCATCCGCCAATGCCTAGTAACGCGGCTCCAGCAACGTAGTTTAAATACCAGACGTCGCTGGGTTCGAAAAACGCGAGAGGGAGGAAGGAAGAGAAGAGGAAATCTGGCGGGAAAGCGATGCCGGCGAATAGTAGCATCTGGATAACCACGTATTCTTCCCCTCGCTTCCCCAACTCGCCGTCTTTAAACATATTATCCCGAAGCTTCTGTCGACGCTTCTCCTCCGCGCTGAGATCCGGTCCGGAGGTTAGTTTGTCAGCCTCGGGATTGTCACCGGAGCTGCTGCCTGGGGGGGATGGACCAGCAAATGGGAGAAGCGGGTCCTTTTTGCGATTGGAGGACAGGATTCCCTCAATTTTCGAAGAATTCGGATGATCGTGATAACTGCGTGGCTTGAAGTTAAGCTGCGAGGTAAGAGAGCTGGGGCCTGACGACGGGGCCTTGTTGCGATCCCTCGAGTCTGGTCTTAACGCGGATACGGGAGCGGCCGCAACGGTACGAAGAGAAGAGCTCGGGAAAACGACGCAGGAGGATGATAACGGGGAGGTGGCTCGGCAACGCAGCGCCGTCCGCAATCCAAGGAGCGTTCGCAGCGGCGAAACGCCAATAAGAGCCGTGGTAACCATCTCACCAAGCTGCTGTCAGAAAGGAATGCAGCAGCGGCAGTGGGTAAAGCGAGGGACAAGATGCCGAGAAGTTATGGGATGAATGCGACAGCAAGAGGATTGAGGAATATTGAATGCCAATGCTATTTAGATTTGACGAGGCATTTATAAGAGGCGGAAATTAGGCTAAGCTCAAACTTGTTTCCTCCTCTATCGCTGACGCATGCGAATGGGATTTGGCGAAATCTGCAAGCTCGTGGAACGTGCGACGGAAACTCGCGTGCTCGCGAAAGTTCGCGCTGGAAATATCAGCACAGAGCAATTTCTGAAGAAGTGTCGCAGGCATAGAAGCTGAGATCAGAGAAGCTGCTTCGTTAGAAATTACAGCTACACTTAGATTATTGAACATGATATACATCATTTTCATCCTTGTTACAATTACAGCTATCTATCTACCCTTAGTTAGACTTAACGGAAGAACGCGTCCCCCACCTCGCTTTCTGGGTATCGGGTGCTCTTCCCCTCCAGAAGAGGCCTTGTTGTCGCTTCTCATTTCCTTAGCTTTATGCATCGTCCCTGTTACACCTTCCGTCGTCTCACCACCTTCACATTCAACTCCAGATTGATTTCTTGCATCATCAGCTTCAGTGGCGTCATTACCAGGAGGTGAATCTTCATTCCCCTTGGCCTGGCGTGTGCTTTCCACGTGCTCTGCAATGAATGCCAAGATTTGGTTCCCGAACTGATCCGCTCGTCTTTGCCCGATAATCTCTACCAACTGCGACGAGAGTGGTTCGAAAGAAGGAATGAAGTGATCGTATAATGCGCCGAGGAGGAAAATTACACAACAATAGGAACATGCATGGTTTTGAACATGCATGCTTGGCTGGTTTGGAGTGAGAGAGCGCGAAGAGGTGGTGAGAGGAGAGCACGGCACGAGGGAACGAACCCGCCGTGTTGAGAAGCAACAAAGGGAATGAGATGTGCAGAGAGGCCTTACCTGAGGCATGGCGGCTGGCATGGAGTGGGAGAGAGCGAAGGGGTGGTGGGAGGAGAGCACGCCAAGAGGGAACAACCCGCCGTGTTGAGATGCAACAAAGCCTTGTGGTGTGAGGAGGGCTGTACATGATGTACCTTGGTGTGAAGAAAGCCTTACCTGATGCATGGTGGCTGGCTTGGAGTGAGAGGGAGCAAAGAGATGGTGCGAGGAGAGCACGGCATGTGGGAACAGGCCGCTGTGTTGAGATGCAACGGAGGTGTGAAGGCGTGAAGAGGGCCGTACCTGATGCATGGAGGCTGGTTTCGACTGCGAGAGAGCGAAGAGATGATGGGAGGAGAGCACAGCATGTGGGAACAGGCCGCCGTGTTGAGAGGCAACGGAGCGACGCAATTGGTCGAGGCGGCGGGAGAGCTTTGCGTCAGATGCAGCAGCGGCTGCACTCGTAGCAGTTGCGGTGTTGGTGATAGTGGTGGTTCGTGCAGTTGAAACGCTTGGGTCAGCAGGAGGATGAGTTGTAGTTGTTGTTGCTTGTCTTGGGATGTCCATTGTAACGCGCATCTGACCTGTAACGTTTTGTGGGCGATAGAGAGAGAACATCAGACACTGTTTTTTTTTTTTTTTTTTTTCAGATGTTTTTTACGAAAGGGGAATGGAAGAGTAGCTACCAACGAATGATAAAAAGGGTCTTGGCTATATTTCTTCCATTAGTGATTGAGTTTTTATTTTAACAGAGCTTACATGGGAAAGAGAGCTGCAACATCCTTTGCTGGAATTTTACACAAGATACCTGATCAAGTCAGCTAACAACACCTGATCAGGCCACCGAAACACACCTGAAATCGCCTGAGAGACCACCTGGGCTCACCTGAAACCACCTGACAGACCTGACAGGCCATCTAAATTCACCTGTGAGGACGCGGTGTGCATTGCGGCTCAGAAGCAGGTAGGCGTTTGTGGCATATGGCGAGTGCTGAAACTCCTGAGAGACCATCTCCACTCCACTCACCTGAAACCACTCACTCACCTGTGAGGACGCGGTGTGCATTGCGGCCCGGAAGCAGGTAGGCGTTTGTGGCAAATGGCGAGTGCTGAAACTCCTCCCTCTATAGTCACACAGGCAAGCAACGGTTTGGGGCACATACAAACGAGCATGCACATGCAAAAGCGGATTGGCATTTGAGACGTTTGTGGCGTATGGTGAGTGCTGAAACTCCTCCCTCTTTAGTCACATATGAGGCAGTATGGGGAATGTGCACAAGCACATGACGCAAAAGCAGGTAGGTGTTTGTAGCATATGATGAGTGCTGAAACTCCTCCCACTATAGTCACACATAAGAAAAAACTCCATACTTCTAATGTATACAGTACATAGGCCGTACGGCATTGGAATGAATACAGGAGCGAGATGTATTTTGATTGTACTAGATAGCCTACTCTACTCACCAGCACAGATGACAGGAGCATATGCGTTATAAGCTGCTCTGTTGTCTCTTTAGTGATCCCTTTCACCAACGAACCCCAACTCTCGGATTCCCCTTTTCCCCCTCCCTTCACATTCCCTCTCCCCACTCCTCCGCCTCCCCCTCCTCCTCCCCTGCCTCCTGTTCGCCATTGCTCTGTAAGCTGCAACAGTGTGAGGGATTTCTCCTTGGACGATTGGGTTTCTTGAACGAATTCGAGTATGGAACGGGCGTGGGGAGTAAAGTCCTGCTGCGCTGTTCGTTCCCCTCCTCCTCCTCCCTGGCTGCAAATGTCACACATACCTGGGCGGGATGCAGTGGGGTGGGGTGTGGAGGGGTATGGTGTGGTGTGGAGTGGTGGGGTGGGGCGTGGACGGGTGTGGTGGTGGGGTGGGGTGTGGAGGGGTGTGGAGTGGTGGGGTGGACATTCTTCAGCATAGGACGGCATGGTATGGCACTTTGCTGACTAACACCGCGACTACCATGTTTGGCCAGCTCGCCTTCGCACCCCACCACACCCCACCACACCCCACCACAACCAGCCACACCAAAACCAACCACACCCCACCAAACCAATATCATGGCAAAACATTTCACCAGCTCACCTTCACGCTCCCTCGGCTCCTCCCCAAACTGCCTAAAGATGGCCGTCCTTCTCTAGGGAATTGCATAGTGTTAAGCATGCATCATACAAGGACTTCACACACTCACCCTCACATTCCCTCGGCTCCTCCCCAAACTGCCTAAAGATGGCCGTCCTTCTCTAGGGAATTGCATAGTGTTAAGCATGCATCATAGGACTTCACACACTCACCCTCACATTCCCTCGGCTCCTCCCCAAACTGCCTAAAGATGGCCAGTCTTCCTTTGACATGAGATGGCACCGCACAGTACATTACCTCACCCCACTACACTCCACTGCACCACACCACATCACACAACATCTGTCAACCACTCACCTTCGCATTCCCTCGGCTCCTCCCCGAAGTGTCTGAAGATGGCCGTTCTCCGACACTCACGGCGATTCTTTAGGGAGGAGGGAGGGATGGATTGGGGTGGAAAGGGGTGGAACGGCGGTGGAAAGGGATGGGAAGGATAGGAGAAAGTGCCTGAAGTTAGCCGTTCTCCGACACTCACGGCGATTCTTTAGGGAGGAGGGAGGGATGGATTGGGGTGGAAAGGGGTGGAACGGCTGTGGAAAGGGATGGGAAGGATGGGAGAAAGTGCCTGAAGTTAGCCGTTCTCCGACACTCACGGCGATTCTTTAGGGAGGAGGGAGGGATGGATTGGGGTGGAAAGGGGTGGAACGGCTGTGGAAAGGGATGGGAAGGATGGGAGAAAGTGCCTGAAGTTAGCCGTTCTCCTTCACTCACGGCGATTCTTTAGGGAGGAGGGAGGGATGGATTGGGGTGGAAAGGGGTGGAACGGCTGTGGAAAGGGATGGGAAGGATGGGAGAAAGTGCCTGAAGTTAGCCGTTCTCCGACACTCACGGCGATTCTTTAGGGAGGAGGGAGGGATGGATTGGGGTGGAAAGGGGTGGAACGGCTGTGGAAAGGGATGGGAAGGATGGGAGAAAGTGCCTGAAGTTAGCCGTTCTCCGACACTCACGGCGATTCTTTCAGGAGGAAGGAGGGGTTGGGACGAGGTGGAGAGGGGCGGGATGAGGTGGGAAGGGGTGGGAAGGTGGGAAAAGGTGGGTACCACAAGACCATGTCTCACTCACTCCCTCACTCTCCCTCCCATTCATCCACCCACTTACTCACCCACTTCCCCACCCACTCCCCCACACACTCTTCCACCCACTCACCATCGCATGCCACCCCTTGGCATACAGGTTGATTAGACCAGCATTATCCCTCACAAGACACTATGCATGATCTCTCACTCGCTATATGATATTCCCTGCACCGCACACATCCCACTCACCATCACATACCGCCCCTTGGCATACACGTTGATTAGACCTGCATTCCTTTGCGCACATGCACGCATTCACTTACACATTATCCCACTCCCCTAACCACCCACCCACTCACCATGGCATAGCGCCCCATGGCGTACAGGTTGATGAGACCTGCATTCTCTGCAAATACCACGAGTCCCTTCCCCACTCACTCCCTCACATTCACTCCCCCAACCAGCCACCACTCCCCCACTCACCCACCCACTCACCATGGCATACCGCCCCATGGCATACAGGTTGATCAGCCCAGCGTTCATGCATGCATTTACCCCCACGCCCACACCCACTCTCCCCAAGCACCCACCCACTCACCATGGCATACCGCCCCATGGCATACAGATTGATCAGCCCAGCGTTCTCTGTGAATAGCACCAGTCCATCTCTCAGTACTCCCTCACTCACTCCTCCCACTACCTCTCCACACCACTCAGCATGGCATACCGCCCCATGGCATACAGATTGATCAGCCCAGCGTTCTCTGTGAATAGCACCAGTCCATCTCTCAGTACTCCCTCACTCACTCCTCCCACTACCTCTCCACACCACTCAGCATGGCATACCGCCCCATGGCATACAGATTGATCAGCCCAGCGTTCTCTGTGAATAGCACCAGTCCATCTCTCAGTACTCCCTCACTCACTCCTCCCACTACCTCTCCACACCACTCAGCATGGCATACCGCCCCATGGCATACAGGTTCATCAGACCAGCGTTCTCTGCGAATAGCACCAGTCTGATACCCCCCTGCTGCTGTATATGACTCCCCCACCCCACCCACTCACCATGGCATACCGTCCCATGGCATACAGATTGATCAGCCCAGCGTTCTCTGCAAATACCATGCTGCTCTGAGGTGGGGAGTGGGGAGAAGGAGAGGGGAGAGGGTAGTGGGGAGAGACGTCTAGGAACTCTGAAGGTTGATGAGTCCTGCGTTTTCTGCAAAGACCAATCGGCTCTGGGGTAGAGAAGTTGGGAATATGGCAGGTGGGAACAAGGCAGATGCGGAATACAGAAGGTGTGAATAAGGCAGGTGGGGAAGCGGCAGGTGGGGAGACGGGTAATGAAACGACTCAGAACTCTTCAGGTTGATGAGATGAGACCCGCATTACCTGAAAGAACAGTCCGTTATTCCAATCACATGTTTCACTGGTCATGAAGAAGAGCTGCAGCGTGAAGGATCGCCTTAGCAAAGAACGATAGTCACTTCTTGAAAAGATAGTAACCCTGTATAAAACTAGAGTAGGACCCGCATTACCTGAAAGAACAGTCCGTTATTCCAATCACATGTTTCCCGCTCACCCACCGTTCCCCCTAACGCCTCTTTGTAACCGCCTACTCCCCGGTCCCCACCCGCGGCACCTTACTCACCTGTCTTGGCAGGTCGGCGCATCGGAAGAAGAGAATGCAGCGAGGCGGCAACCCATCCCTGCCCGCTCGCCAGGGCTCAGACCCCAGATCCCATGCACCCCTCTCAACCCCACTGCCCCACAGCACCTGCAACACTATGCCTCACCTGTCTTGGCAGGTCGGCGCATCGGAAGAAGAGAATGCAGCGAGGCGGCAACCCATCCCTGCCCGCTCGCCAGGGCTCAGACCCCAGATCCCATGCACCCCTCTCAACCCCACTGCCCCACAGCACCTGCAACACTATGCCTCACCTGTCTTGGCAGGTCGGCGCATCGGAAGAAGAGAATGCAGCGAGGCGGCAACCCATCCCTGCCCGCTCGCCAGGGCTCAGACCCCAGATCCCATGCACCCCTCTCAACCCCACTGCCCCACAGCACCTGCAACACTATGCCTCACCTGTCTTGGCAGGTCGGCGCATCGGAAGAAGAGAATGCAGCGAGGCGGCAACCCATCCCTGCCTGCCTCTCACCCCCAGTAGTTTCATTCATAGCTTCCCACTCCACTGTAACACCCTGCCTCACCCTGTCTCACCTGTCGGGGCAGGTCCGCACATCGGAAGAAGAGAATGCAGCGAGCCGGCAGCCCATCCCTGCCTGCTCGCCCACTCTCCTAAAAAATAGAGAAAAAAAAGGGGAAAAAAAAACTGGAGAAGCGGCGGGGACCAGGACATCTTACAAAAACCAGTTTCGTTTACGGAACTTTCAGTTTAGTTCCGCTGGTTGCTTTGTTTTCCATACTTCAGAATTGCTGCTCTCCCAATTGGTTTTGAGACACATTAAAACAGGAAACGGACAAGGCAACTAACGGGGGAGTAATGACAAACAAAAAACGTTTGAGGCGGTTCTGAACCTGAAACAGCAGGTAACCTGATAAAACGTGTCCATGGACTTGCTGAGAGTATGGTGTATCACAAACCGAACTGCAAAGAAAGCACTTAAGAAGACTGTTTCATGGGAAACAGACGGGGCAGTTAACTGGTAATGACAAAGAAGCCAAATGTTTGGTTCCCCTCATTTTTTATTAGCCTCTGAAGCAACATGTTACCTGGTAGTAGGTCTCTATAGATTTGCTGAGAGTATGGTGTATCACAAACCGAACTGCCATTAGGAAATGCGATAGAGAGAGCAAGATAGAAGAGAGACATAAGCCCAAGTTCATTACCTTAAGCACAGCAAACAAGCATAATGAGAAACAGATGTGCACACAGCAAAAGCACTGGTTCCCACCTCAGCAATGCAGATTATTCTCAGGCAAAAAGTTAGGGTTACCATCAGGCTTGTTGATTCCTATTCCTGGTCATGCAGAGCGCACACACATGCAAGCAGGCAGAAGCAGAAATTCGATAGCCTAATAGCTCACCGTCAGGCTTGTTGATTCCCATTCCAAATGCAACCTGCCGTAAAAGCCGCATCAGGACACAAACACACAAGCAAACATGCAGAAACTTACCGCTTGTTCGCATGCCCACATTTTCCACATCCAGCAGTCAGTGATCAAAGCGCCTACCTCTTGCTCATTCTCACACTCACCCACCACCATGACCCAACATCTTTCGTAGCCCTCTCACATGCCCACATTGTTCCAGTCACTCACTTACAGTGCCCACAATGACTTGCACTTCCCCCCGACTCCAGCTATTAGGGGAGGAACGGGAGCGGGGGGAAGGGGACGAGGAATGGGGGTTTAGGAGGGATGGTGAGAAGAGAATGCTACTACCTTGCCCCAACCACACACACCCGCAGTGCCCAGAGTCAGATGGGAAGGGTCTATATCCACACGGTATGGTATTGTGCTGCTGGTAGATCTCATACACGACACGTCACTTGACTAAAGATCCCTGCCGTGCTAGTGCCTTGCCTTATGTGCACGGTGCATGTGAATGTGATGGGCAGGCAGGGTTTATACCGGCATGGTGCTGTGCTGCTGAGAGCACTCACAGACTCACCACCACTCCGTTTTTTTATTCCAAAGCCCCCCCTTAATACCTGACATGCTTGTGTGGATGAGGTGCAGTGGGCTGGGTCCATATCGGCATGGTAGTGCTCTGCCGATGATAGTACCTGCCTTAGTAATTGACAAAATGGTACTCCCTCAGTACCTGACATGCACGTGAGTGGGGTGGGCTGGGTCCATATCGGCATGGTAGTGCGCTGCTAAGATCACTCACACACTCACCATGTCATTCACTTGCACAGCACATCATGCACAGCACAGCGCACTAGCACAACACCCGCCCCGCCTTAGTACCTCACATGCACATGAGTGCGATGGGAAGGGTCCATGTCGGCATGGTAGTGCGCTGCCGGGATGCCCCGCAGCGACAGCTCCGATGCTACCTGAGAGGCATAGGAGGTGACAGAGGTGAGTCAAGATGAGGAGGGGTTTCTTATAAGGCACCTCACTATGCACGTGGGCTGGGTCCATATCGGCACGGTAGTGTGCTGCTGGGGATCCACGCGGCGACAGCTCTGATGCTACCTGAGAGGGAACGAAATGAGAGAAGCAGTAGACGATGCACAGGCCCAAAGGGGCATGAATCGAACTGAGAATGAATGAACTGAGTGATTGAATCCACAGCAGCTGCTGCATACCTGCTCCCACTTCACCAGACCGGCTACCACCGCACTCTATCTGCTCCAACCATGCCTGCTCGCAAGCAGTAAACAATGCCTGAATCAGAAGGAGCATAGTGCTGCAGAATAAAAGGTGAGCAGTATACTCCACAACAGCTGCTACATACCTGCTCACACCATTTTTAGTCACACTGTACCTGCTCGCACTCCTTTCTTGAGAAGCAGTAGACGATGCCCGAGTAAGAAGGAACGTAGTGCTCCAGAATGAAGTGAGTTACAGACTCCACATCCGATCTCCTCCCACCGCACTGTACCTACTCACACCATACATCTTCCCATCCTACCTGCTCGCACTCCTTGCGTGAGAAGCAATAGACAATGCCCGAGTCAGAAGGCGCATAGTGCTCCAGAATGAAGTGAGCAATCGACTCCACAGCAGCAGCTGCACCAGGCGGCTTCTCCCGCACCTGAGAAAGACAGAGGTAAGGTATGGTAGGTACCACGTATAAGCAGCGGAATAAGGTGCGATTCAATCATGCTTTGACTTGATTGAAAAAGGAAGCTTTTGATTCAGCTTAACACGGAATTGACTAGCGGTAAGTCGAATCGGCAACAACCACAAACAACCACATTCAAACGCATTCAACCGCATTCAACCACATTCACTACACACACCTCATAGAAGAGGTTGGGTCGATTGACAGAGGAAACAAAGAGCTCGCATCGCCGCATTTGAAGCATGTCCCTCACATCGTCCCTCACTCGTTCAGTTGCTGTTGCCTTGAGGGTAAGGGGAGAGAGGGGAAGAGGGAGGGAGAGGGGGGGGGGGTGGGGGGGGGGGGGGGGGGGGGGGGGGGGTCGGAGGGAGAGGTGGGATGCTATTCTGAAGAATTCTGGAAAATGAGAATGTTAAAAAAAGTTAAAAAAAAAAAAAAAAAAATCTTAGAAGTGAGAATTCTCAAAAGTGTCTCATAGACTGAGGAAGCAACGGTGACTCACTGTGAGAGCGAGCATGGGCGTCTTGGGGAACTGCTTTTTCAGAACTGAGAGATGAGCGTAGTCATAGTCATGCCTTCACTAGACAGAGACACGGTAACGACTGAAAGGGGAAGGGCGAGCATGGACGTCTTGGGGAACTGCTTCTTGAGCACAGACAGATGAGCATAGTCAGGGCAAGACACCCTTTCCCGCCCCCTCTCTCCTCCATCTTGGACACTGACACGGAGAAAGTCAAGCACTCACTGCAAGGGCGAGCACTCACTGTGAGGGCGAGCATGGGCGTCTTGGGGAACTGCTTCTTGAGCACAGACAGATGTGCGTAGTCGGGGCAGGGGACCTTTTCCCGCCCCCTCCCCCCTCTTGGCACTATGAGGTGAGGGCAGCACCACTATGAGAGCAGCACCACAATGAGAACAGCACTCACTGTGAGGGCGAGCATGGGCGTCTTGGGGAACTGCTTTTTCAGAACTGAGAGATGAGCATAGTGGGGCGGGGGGGCATGAGACCAGCACACGGTTTAACTCATTATTCTCATAATCTTCTTTGACTGAGGAAGAAGCGGTGACTCACTGTGAGGGCGAGCATGGGCGTCTTGGGGAACTGCTTTTTTAGCACTGAGAGATGAGCATAGTCGGGGCGGAAATCATGGCCCCACTGGCTGCAGCAATGCGCCTCCTGATAAGGGAAGAGGGAGGAGGAGGGGTTGAACAGGGGTGTGGGGGAAAGTGAATGTGTAGGAGGGGCATAGTCAGGGACAAAAGTCATGCCCCCACTGGCTGCAGCAGTGCGCCTCCTGAGAAGGGGGTCAATAAAGAGTGAGGAGGGAGGGTGGGGACAATAAAGGAGTGGTGGGAGGGGAGTGCAGAGAAGGGATGGGCGTAGTCGGGGCCAAAGTCATGGCCCCACTGGCTGCAGCAATGCGCCTCCTGAGAAGGAAAAAACACCAGGGGGCAAGAGTCATGCGGTTACTGTGTGCTTACCATGTGGTTACCACTCTACTGTACACCCGCTCACATCTATGGCAAAAGGCTTAGCCTCCCAGCAGCATGGCACTTCTCCAGCTTCGACATCAACCGCTTGCTGCTCGTCATGTGGGGTTGCTGTGTGCCTACTGCGTGCCAGCACTCACATCTATGGCAATCAATGAGAGCCTCCCAGCAGCATGGCGCTTCTCCAGCTTCGACATCAACCGCTTGCTGCGTGCCACCTTCTCAGGAGTGACGTATAGCAGTGAGGTGCGGTTACCGCATGAGCACTCACATCAAATGAGCACCCATGTCAGTACTCACATCTATGGCAATAAGAGATAGCATTCCAGCGGAGTGGCACGTCTCCAGCTTCGACATGAACTGCTTGCTCCTCGCCACCTTCTCAGGCGTCACAAGGTGGTATGGTAAGGAGCGGTTACCGCATGAGCAGTGACATCCCATGGGAACTCACATCTATGGCAATGAGACTCAGTCGCCCAGCAGCGTGGCACTTCTCCAGTTTGAACATGAACCGCTTGCTCCTCGCCACCTTCCCAGGAGTCATGTATAGCAGCTTCACTGAGGTGTGGTTACCATGTGGTTACGATGTGGTTACCATGTGGTTACCACCCATACAGATACTCACATCTATGGCAATCAATGACAGCCTCCCAGCAGCGTGGCACTTCTCCAGTTTGGACATGAACCGCTTGCTCCTCGCCACCTTCTCAGGAGTCACGTATAGCAGCTTCACTGAGGTGTGGTTACCATGTGGTTACGATGTGGTTACCATGTGGTTACCACCCATACAGATACTCACATCTATGGCAATCAATGAAAGCCTCCCAGCAGCGTGGCACTTCTCCAGTTTGGACATGAACCGCTTGCTCCTCGCCACCTTCTCAGGAGTCACGTATAGCAGCTTCAGCCCTGCTGCTGCTCCTGCTGCTGCTTCTTCTGCTCTCCCTTTACCTTCTCCTTCTCTCCCTTTACCTTCTCCTTCCTCTCTTTCCCCCCCATACTCTCCTCCCCACTCTTCCTCCTCCTCCTCGCTCTCCGCCTCCTCGTCGTTGCCTCTCTTCCGTTTTCCTTTCCCTCTTCCCCCTCCTCCCGCTCTCCCCCTCCCTCTCCCTCGACTCGGTTTTCCTGCCGCGCTCTTCCCTCTCCCTCTCCCCCCTCCCCCCTTCGCACTCCCCCGTCCCCTTCCCCTTCCCCCTCCACCACTCCCCCCCACCCCTTCCCCATGCTCCAAAGTATTATAGATTGCCCTTTCCTCCTCTTTGGACGTTGTAGATGTGAGCATGGCCGCTGGCACGCCAAAGCCTGACAGGCACATGACCTGTGTGGTTGGGGGGAGGAGAGAGGGAAGTAGGTGGATGTTCAGTAGCCCAGAGTATTGTAAATCGCCCTTTCCTCGTCTTTGGACGTTGTAGATGTGAGCATGGCCGCTGGCACGCCAAAGCCCGACAGACACATGACCTAGTGGGGAGAGGAGAGGGTGAGGACAAGGGGGAGGGGAGGTGACTTTTGAGTCGACTCAAAAGTCACCTCGTTACCATGGCACACGACTCAAAAGACTTTTGAGTCGACTCAAAAGTCACCTCGTTACCATGGCACACGACTCAAAAGACTTTTGAGTCGACTCAAAAGTCACCTCGTTACCATGGCACACGACTCAAAAGACTTTTGAGTCGACTCAAAAGTCACCTCGTTACCATGGCACACGACTCAAAAGACTTTTGAGTCGACTCAAAAGTCACCTCGTTACCATGGCACACGACTCAAAAGACTTTTGAGTCGACTCAAAAGTCACCTCGTTACCATGGCACATGACTCAAAAGACTTTTGAGTCGACTCAAAAGTCACCTCGGCACCCCAAAGCCTGACAGGCACATGACCTAGTGGGGAGAGGAGAGGGTGAGGGCAAGGGGGAGGGGAGCAAACAGAGGGGCTTAGAATATATCACCCTCTCCTCGTCTTTGGACGTTGTAGATGTGAGCATGGCCGCTGGCACGCCAAAGCCTGACAGGCACATGACCTAGTGGGGAGAGGAGAGGGTGAGGGCAAGGGGGAGGGGAGAAAAGAGAGGGGCTTAGAATAGATCGTCCTTTCCTTGTCCTTGGAGGTTGTAGAAGTGAGCATGACAGCCGCCACTCCCCCCCCACCCCTTCCCCATGCTCCAGGGTATTATAGACCGCCCGTTCCAAGGTGACTTTTGAGTCGACTCAAAAGTTTGCTCCAGGGTATTATAGACCGCCCGTTCCTCGTCTTTGGAGGTGGTAGATGTTGTTATTAGTAAACAGGTGGGCTGCGGAGGTCTGATGTCCATCAACTTGAGTGTTATTAAGACGGCGAGACAAACTCCATGAGATGAAAGTGGGTATTATAGACCGCCCGTTCCTCGTCTTTGGAGGTGGTAGATGTGAGCATGGCTGCCGGCACACCAAAGCCCGACAGACAAATGACCTGTGTACGTGTGTGTGGGGGAGAGCAAGCAAGAGAGCCAGGCAAGAGCAGCGTGATCACCCAAGAGAGAGAGAGCAGAGCAGAGAGAGCCCTCTGCTAATCACCCACCTGGTCGTGGATGTATAACCTCACACTATACTGTCATCGTACTCACCTGGTCGTGTATGAGACACAGCAGACGGCTGACAACCAGGGAGATGCCTGGGGAGAGCAGTGCAGGCAGCTGGTAGCAGAGGGGAGGGAGGCTATATACATTGGCAGTAGGTAGAACCACACACTATATTGTAACTACCCACCTGGTCGTGGATGAGAGCCAGCAGAGGGCTGACGACCAGGGAGATGCCTGGCGAGAGCAGCGCTGGCAGCCGGTGGTAGGTAATCACAGCACATACTTATCATCACACCTGATCATGAATCAGAGAGAGCAGAGGGCTGACGACCAGGGAGATGCCTGGCGAGAGCAGCGCTGGCAGCCGGTGGTAGGTAATCACAGCACATACTTATCATCACACCTGATCATGAATGAGAGAGAGCAGAGGGCTGACGACCAGGGAGATGCCTGGCGAGAGCAGCGCTGGCAGCCGGTGGTAGGTAATCACAGCACATACTTATCATCACACCTGATCATGAATGAGAGAGAGCAGAGGGCTGACGACCAGGGAGATGCCTGGCGAGAGCAGCGCTGGCAGCCGGTGGTAGGTAATCACAGCACATACTTATCATCACACCTGATCATGGATCAGAGAGAGCAGAGGGCTGACGACCAGGGAGATGCCTGGCGAGAGCAGCGCTGGCAGCCGGTGGTAGGTAATCACAGCACATACTTATCATCACACCTGATCATGAATGAGAGAGAGCAGAGGGCTGACGACCAGGGAGATGCCTGGCGAGAGCAGCGCTGGCAGCCGGTAGCAGAGGCTCTTACATTGTGTACATAACTACAGCACGCATAATCACACTGCATATAACCACACTACATGATATCACAGTACCTACCTGGTCGTGAATGAGCGACAAAAGTGGGCTGACGACCAGGGAGATGCCTGGGTATAGCAGTGCAGGCAGCTGGTAGCAGAGGCTCTTCCCGCCCCCTGCTGGCATGATGACAAACACATCTCGTTTACACAACACGGCGTTGATGATCTGATGAGGGGAGGGACGAAGGGAGAGGAGAACGATAAGCAAGCATTGCAGCAGGGCAGCAGGGCAGAAAGTGAGCAGTGCAGATAGCAGCGCTGGCAGCTGGTAGCAGAGGCTCTTCCCGCCCCCTGCTGGCATGATGACAAACACATCCCTCTTGCACAGGACTGCATTGATGATCTGATGGGATGGAGAGGGATGCAGTCAGATTGGCAAGGACAGTGGTGCTGGCAGCTGGTAGCAGAGGCTCCTGTCCCCCCCTGCTGGCATGATCACGAACGCGTCCCTCTTGCACAGCACTGCGTTAATGATCTGACGAGGGGAGAGGGGAAAAGTTGCGCGAGGAGAGAAGAGAAAGGAGACTAATAACGCCTCTGCAGTGAGGGCACACTAGCAGCTGGTAGCAGAGGCTCTTGCCCCCCCCTGCTGGCATGATCCCAAACACGTCTCGCTTGCACAACACTGCGTTGATGATCTGATGAGGGGAGTGAGAAAGAGGAGCGAGTGGAGAGTGGAGAGAGGAGAATAATAAGGTCAGTGCGGTGGTAGGGAAGAAGGGCAGAGGCGCTGGCAGCTGGTAGCAGAGGCTCTTGCCGCCCGCCCTGCCGGAATGACCACAAACACGTCCCGCTTGCACAACACCGTATTGATGATCTGAGAGGAGGGGAGAAGCACTGCTGGAGGGGAGAAGCAGGGAGGAGAAAGGAGAGTGCTATGGACAGGTTGACTGAGGACAGTGGTGCTGGCAGCTGGTAGCAGAAGCTCCTGTCCCCCCCTGCCGGAATGACCACAAACACGTCCCGTTTGCACAGGACTGCATAAATGATCTAAAACAGGGAGGGAGGGCAGGGCAGATCCTGTACTTGCCTGCCCCCCAGCCTGGCCCCATACCGTCCCTGCTTCCGAGCCTTCTCCCTTACCTCCCTCTGCTGCGATCTGAACCGTCCGATCCCAAACACATCTCGCCCAACCGCAGCCACCTGGGCGTCCCATTCAAAGGGAGCTTGCCACCTCGCCACCGATCCCAACCCTGCTGCACCTGCTCCTCCTCCCGCTCCTCCTCCTGCTCCCCCTGTTCCTCCTGATCCTCCTACTCCTCTTGACCCCCCCACACCCACTGCTACTCCTTGCTCAGATTTTGCACCACCACCACCATCACCACCATTACCAGCGTTCCTGTTAAAATCATTTTTGCTCTCACTGGCAGCTTCGCTATTAGCATTCGCGTTATTAGCAGCAGCCCACGCGGCTGCAGCCGCAGCTGACGCCTCTAGTCTGGAGTTAATCTCCTCGCGTCTCTTGATTAGCTGCTCCTGCTCTTCTAGCAGCGATTCTACCTCCTCCTGTATTTTCTGCAGACGCGCTTCGACGTCTTCCCGCTCATCCTCTAGCTCTAGCGCCAATCGCGGGTCCATCGGCCAGCCACCGGCGAAATTCACGGCGGGATCGGCGGCGGGAGTACCAGCGGAATTTCCGGCGGGAATCCCGGCGCGATCACCGGCGCTGCCGGCACCGCAGCTTGGGGAAGAAATGCGCTCGCCGCGCTCGAGACGCTCCCATTGGTCGTCGCTCAGGTCAATAAAATCGTCCATGGTAAGCGCTTGAACTATCAGTATATGCTTCACGTTATGAACAAACAAATTTCACTAGGAAACATCACGCGAAAGTCCCGAAGTGCTATAAAATCGTCTGTTTCCGGTGACATCGTCGTCAGTCAGCCGGATACCGTTGGCGGTGTTCGCCAGCACATCTAAAAAAAGAAAGGCCGTGGAATCACGAACCAGAGGAGGAACCTCCCGAATAGGTGTGGGGGGAATGGCCAAATCGCGAAATTTCGCGCCAGAAAGGGGAAGGGTGGCAACGGGATCAGGAACCACCCTCCCCACCTTCCAATTCCCCGTGTCCCCCTCCACATCCTTCCAATCCCATGGCCATCCCAAGGCAATTCTGCTAGGGGGGGTGAATGGCGATGGAATGGCAACGGGACCAGCGTTTGCCTGTAGAGGAAGCTCCCGACCCACTTTCCTACCTTCACGATTCCATTCGAAATGAATGAAAAGGAGGGCGTTCGACAGGCCAACATGATTCCGTTTGGTTCGGACGGAATCATAGGCTCGGCAAGAGTTTCGCGGGCTGACCTGCTGGATCAGGAAGCCGAGACTGACCTTCCTGATCCCGTCATTTTTGTTGTTAAAAGTGCTGGCGAACAACGCCGTTGTAATTAACTCTCCTCAGGACTGCACGACCTTGCGGGAAGTCTAGTATACACTGCATTTAGCATTGCATTGCCGATATATTGCTAGCTACCGTATGAGGCTTCTTGCTCGGTTATGATATGAACTGCTGGACTCGATGATCTTAGGGAAAATATGTCAATGGTAACTTTTATGGGGAATTATAACGCGTACGGTAACGATTTCAACGCGTTTGGTAACTCGCTTAACACGTTTGGTAACTCGCTTAACGCGTATGGTAACTATACACTAGCAGCCCATCACGCGAATGGTAACTAGAAGAAACCCTCGCCCAAAATGACCCTCATTCTGGTTTTTCCCGCTCGCGTCAGACTAAATTAACGAATCCTGAAGCAGAAACCTCTGACACACTCTCAGAAATTCTGACACAATTTTCCGAAATTCTGACACACTTTCCGAATTTCTGACACACTTTCCGATTTTCAAGCTAATTGCAAAAACGTAAGTGTTGTGAAAACAACTGTTCTTACATAACTGACATTCTGGCGCTCTTTCCGCAAACTGTTTGTACTTCATTCTATCGTGCAGCCGGGGAAAACAAATCTATACCCCTTTCAGATGGCAAATGAATTTGAGAGGCGACCCTAAACTCCTTGCGAGAAGGCGTTTATGGTAAAAAAAACGAAACATGTAATTCTAAAGAGGTGTATTTTTCCCACATGCAAAAATTCTCCAACGTTGCAGTAATTACAAAAAGTAAAAGCCCCGAGGTCCTTTCGGGGAATGTTTTTTTTTTTTTAATAATTTTGCAAGTTCGCAATCATGCTATCCAAAATCATATTTTAACCGTTTTTGTACGAGCTACATATATATTTAAAACGGCTCTGAAACTTTTCGGTCCGTGGTAATAGAATAAACGGGGTCCTTCAAAGTCGCGGCGGGACTTGTTCAAAAAATACAAAACTATGTGTAAAATCTTTCAAACTCGATAAATTCCTCTTCGTCAGGATCATTTCGGCGGGAGTTTCATGTAGTTACCATTCGCGTGATGGGCTGCTAGTGTATAGTTACCATACGCGTTAAACGAGTTACCAAACGTGTTAAGCAAGTTACCAAACGCGTTAAGCGAGTTACCAAACGCGTTGAAATCGTTACCGTACGCGTTATAGTGCCCCATGTAAGTTATCATTGACATATTTTCCCATGATCCTATCACCACTGTGATTACATGCACAGAAGGTATAGTAGACTGATTGCTGGTGCATCTGACATGGCCTTACGGAGAATTTTATATCATAACACGGTAGGTACAAACAGGCTACATAACTCAAATAAATCACAAGTTGTATAATAGCAGAAACTAGTGGGGCTGCTGGTGGCACATCACACACAGCCAGCCAGCCAGCCAAGCGTCAACCAGGAATCAGATAGAGTGTTGCTGTGGCCGCAAATGCGAACAGGTCAGCCACATTGCATGCAGCACGTGTCAGAACAAAGGCAGCTGAGAAGACAAATGACATGTTATTTATTAGAGTAAGCAGTTGCACAGACAGTGCGACATGGGTAACAGTGAATGATTTCGCAGCAATGAGCAGCAGTCACAAGGACCAGTCACGAGCAGCAATCACATCACATGCAGACACGTGCCAGATAAGATAGCTGGGGAATCAAATGGCATACACTGAGCACAAGCAGTCATACATGGGGAAAGGAGGGGAATGCAGAGTGCATGTGCGAGAACAGATGAGGGGTGAGTGGGGGGAAGGTGGGGGAAGGGCGGGGCGGATGAGGACAGCAGTCACACTGGGAGTGCCACATGTAAACACAAGCAGCCATTCAGGGAGAAGCGAGGGGAATGCGGAGAGCATGGGCGAGAACAGATGAGGGGTGAGTGGGGAAAATGTGAGGGAAGGGCGGGGGGGGAATGAGGGGTAGCTACGCTGTGGTAGAGGGGAGGGGGGTGAGAGAGATGAGGGTAGTGAGGGGGCGGTGGCAGGGGAGGGGAGGGAGATGAGGGGTGATCGTGATGGAGAAGAAGCATGAGCGGAGGAAAAGTTGAGGTATGGGTGTTGGAGGGGGGATGAGGGGGTGAGTCAGAAAAGGGGGAAGAGGGGAGGAGGGGGGAAGAGGGGGAACGAGGGGTGAATCGAGGGGAGCTGAGGATGGGCGTGAAGGAAGAGAACAATAGAGCGCAACAGTGATGAGAGTGGGGGGTTGGGAGGGTGACTGGAAAGAGGGGGGAATGAGCGGAGAATGGGGATGCTTGGTGAAGGAAGAGAACAATAGGGAGGTGGGGGGGGGGGGGGGGGGGGGGGGGGGGGGGGGGGGGGGGGGGGGGGGGGGGGGGGGGGGGGGGGGGGGGGGGGGGGGGGGGGGGGGGGGGGGGGGGGGGGGGGGGGGGGGGGGGGGGGGGAGGGGGGGGAGGGAAGGAAAAAATAGGGGGAAATCGTAGCTTCGCCCTTTCGCCAGTCCTCTCCGTCCATATCCCCTCTTCTCCCCTCCGCTCCGCCCACCTTCGTCTTTCTTCTCCCCTCTGCTCACCTCCCCTCCGCTCCCGTCCTCCCTTTTTCCCGTCTTGCGTCCAGGCTGGGACCGTCGACGCGCACTGAAGTCCTGGAAGATGAGGGGAGCGTGGAAAGGGGAGGGGAAAAGCGGAAAGGGGAGGAAAAAAGCGGAAAGGAAAGGGGAAAAGCGGAAAGGGGAGGAGAAAGGCGGAATGGGGAGCGGAAAAGCGGACAGGGGAGAGAAAAAAGCGGAAATGTAGGGGGAAGGGGAAAGTACAGAGGCTTCCAACTTTCTCCAGTCCTCTCCTTCATTTCCTGCTCTCGATGCTCTGAAGTCACGAGGGGGAAAGCGAAAAGGGGAGGGGGAAGGGGAAATTACCGTCACCTCCCCTCACCTCCTTTTCCGCGTCTTGCGTCCAGGATACCGTCGACGCTGTGAAGTTGACGAAAGGCGCTATCTACTCGACGAAACCCGCTACGTTACTGATGCATACGAAATCGACCATAGTAATTCGTCCGCCGAAAGACGTCCGCATTACGCAAGTAAATAGAAGTAAGATCTGGTGCCTCAACTTGAACTGGCTTGCCGATAATGCTATGTCTGTTCAGATCCGGTACTGCTAGCACGCCAAGCGTAAAGCAATTAAAACTAAGAACGACCGAGGGCGTGAGCGACACTTGCTACATGAAATTTTCGCTGCCATGAAAGCACTTACATCGACTACCGCGCTGAGATCTGTCCTCACGAACTAACAAGATGCGTGGCGAAAACTAGTACTAAATGCAAATTAGTGTCTGAGCTAATGCAAGTTACACCCTACTGCTGTGACGAAGCACATCTGGACAATGACGGGTGAAGGGAGGTGTGGTAGGTTCGGTTCGGAGTACCAGGTCCAGTGGTTGTGCCGGGGTGTCAAAAACAACTTCGTTCCATTGGTTCGCGAAATTTTCTTCTCATCCATCCATTGTTATTCCAGCTGCCCTAGGCAGGTTCGGCTGAACTTTTCCTAAACCAGAGCCGTCCCGCACCTCACGGAAAACTCTCGCGGATCAGCTGAAAAAAACTCATGGCCCGCTATAAATAGCGCCACGTCAACCACCACCTAGACGGCTCAAGCCTGCCCTTGCTGTTGCACACCAACAAACCTCCCTAACCAGAAATACTCGCCTTTGGCAAACGCGTTTACACACAGAAAAGTCAATCCGATTTGTATAGCCCGAATGTGCAAAATGAATGTGCTGTACAACTTGGGTTGAACTGGATGGATAAGGCGGGGGCACAATTTCAGCCGCCTCGAAATGTTCTCCACGCGCCGCTTAGACGAATGTCCCCTCCCTGCCTGCCGCAATCTCGCCGCGGCATTTCATTGGCTCATGACACATGCCACCACACCTCCTCACCGTTGCGGTCGCCTGCACCACCACCATCCATCCTTTCACATCACAATCAACTGTATCGCACCGCGCGCCCAGCCTGGTGTCAGGATCCAGAAATTCCCTCCCACACAGTTTAGACCACACCAGTGCCGCGCCCCGTCCACCGCACTGCACCTTGGTATATGCTGTTTTATTGTATCACTCCTACCTGCATTCACCTATCACTTTTGGGTTAAAGAGGCGCTAAGACGTACCGCGACCGCCGCCGTTCAGAATGGCTGCCGCTGAATTCGTTCATCCACTGATCAGCAGCACGCTTTCCTTCTGCTTCAGCAACTACCTTCCGCTTGCTCCTCTCTCGAGCTTCATCCGCTCCATATAATTTAGCGATGTTGCCTTTGTAGCGTTCTTTTCCTTCCTTTTCAAACTTTGGAAGGGTTTTCAAAGAGCTCCAATCTAATGAGCTCCTGAAGCTACCTGAAGCACACGGTGAAGCTCGAAGCACGAGGCGGCGTTGAGTTAGGGGTTGGGGTGGGTGGGTAGGTGTCGTGAGGAGCGAGCTGCCAAGTGTTTCGAGCCGAACCGTGTGCTGACGGATTTTCGCGGCAACATATCATCGCGACAAGATAATGATCTCCACTGCAAGATCTATGTTCCGCAAGATCATCTCTACAAGCGCAGAAAGAGCTTCAGGCTGGTGGTGCGAAATCCCGTCACCGCTGGTGGCACCACTCAAGATGCTGGTGCTGCGAGTTCTTCGCAGCAATGTCTCCGCTCTTCAAGAGCCTCGGGAGCTTCGAAGTTTCACATGAGATCCGAAGTGGCGAAGACCCGAAGGTCAAGATCCGGCACGGCTCGCGGCGACCGTCGCCGCGATAGACGCTTCATCGCCGTGTAAGATTCGACGTGGCGAGGACCCGAAGGTCAAGATCCGTCACGGCTCGCGGCGACCGTCACCAACTTGTGAGGTTAGTCACGCTGGATCATTGTCGCTGGTTCCTTTTTTTGTTCCCTTCTTTAGTTTGGCTCTGAGTGACTTCGGTTCTTCTTGTTACTAATCCTTGGTTGCCTTCTTCTTTTCAGACGCAAGCCGTCTTTATGACGGAAGCACTCAAGCATAACCAACGGGTTTCAAGAACGCCTCCAACAGGTTTCAAGAACGCCTCCAACGGGTTTCAAGAACGCCTCCAACGGGTTTCAAGAACGCCTCCAACGGGTCCAATGGGTTTCAAGAACGCCTCCAACGGGTGTCAAGAACGCCTCCAACGGGTGTCAAGAACACCTCCAACGGTTCGCCACCGCCGCCAGTGGCGGACTTGTGGACTGGGTTGAGGTAAGTAAATAGAGTTGGACTTTAGTTTAACTTGATTTTTCTTCTCCTTCTTTTGAGCGGCACTGAAGTATTGCCTTTTTTTACTTTTTTTTTTTTCAGGCCCAAGCCAAGCTCGACGCGGTAGGTGCTTCAAGCTGGAAATTCTACAGAAGTCGACCTGAAGCCGATCTCACCCCGCCGCGAGACGCGAATCATCGCCGTTTGAGAGGCACTCATGCATGAAACTGGCGAGGACTTGAAAGGTCGCCACGGATCCGGAAGGATCCGGCACGGCTCGCGGTCGTCACGGAAGGAAGTCAGGATCCGGCACGGCTCGCGGCGACCGTCGCTGATCGTGTTGGGGTAAGTGAATCATTGTCCTTAGTTTTGTTGCCTTCCTTAGTTTTGCTCTGATCGCTGATCTTTTCTTGCCTTCAGCACTTAGGTACTTTGGTTCTTCTTTTTACTAATCCTTTGTTTGCTTTCTCTTTTTCAGACATAAGTCATGCCGGAAGCGGATAGGAGCTTCGACCTCCGGACGGGTCGCACTCAAGCATACCGGAAGAACGCCTCCCGCCTTTGGCGCTTTGAGGACCTGAAAGGCGTCGCCAACTGTTGTCATGACCGTCGCCAACTGTTCACCAACCGTCGACTTGGGGTACGTAAACCAGGTTGGACTTTGATCAAACGTCGTGTTGTTTTTTTGTTTCTTCTTTGAGTAGTGCTAATGTGTTGCCTTTTCCTTTTCAGACCGTCATTGGCGACGTCATTGGTGACCTCATTGACGACATCATTGACGACCTCATTGACGACCTCATTGACGACCTCATTGACGACCTCATTGACGACCTCATTGGCGACCTCATTGGCGACCTCATTGACGACCTCATTGGCGACCTCATTGGCGACCTCATTGACGACCTCATTGGCGACCTCATTGGCGACCTCATTGACGACCTCATTGGCGACCTCATTGGCGACCTCATTGACGACCTCATTGGCGACCTCATTGACGACCGTCTCACAAGATAGCGAGAGGAGCTGCATTGCGAGAGGCTACGCCGAGCTGCATTCAAGCATTCAAGGTCGCCTCGCCCCCCTTCGCCAATGACGGACTTGTCGCCAATAAATCACTTCAAACTGTTTGCTTCAAGCCGTCGCCGTCGCCGTTGCTCCTGACGCTCACCGTTGACTCGAAAGCTCCTACAAAGTCAATGGCGCAGTCACGATCGCCGTCGCCGTCACGCTCGCCGTCGCCGTTGCTCCTGACGACGAAGCTGGCAGCAGTCATGGCGACCGTCGCCAATGACGGGCTTGTCGCCAAATGGTTGGGGTACGTAGATCTCTTCCAAGTGTTGCTTCTAGTAACTAATACGCCAATGGTTTTTTTTTTTAACACAAGTACTAATATGCTGCCTTCTTCTTTTTTCAGATCTCGGCGGCCTTCTTGGCGACACTCATGGCGACCGTCATGACTCGAAAGCTCCTACCGCTCCTACCGTCATGACTCGAAAGCTCCTACCGCTCCTACCGTCATGACTCGAAAGCTCCTACCGTCATGACTCGAAAGCTCCTACCGTCATGACTCGAAAGCTCCTACCGTCATGACTCGAAAGCTCCTACCGTCAATGACGCAGTCACGATCGCCGTCGCCGTCATGCCCGCCGTCGCCGTTGCTCCGCCAAGACTAGTCCCGCTGGAACGCTGCTGCCGACAAGTCCCGTCGCTGCCGCTCGTCTCCGTCAAGACAAGTCGTCACTCTGCCGGTAAGCACGTCGCTGTACTTTTCCAATCGCTTTTCTTTCCCGTCGTTTTTATTTATGCCATTTTCTGAGGCGCAGTACTAAACTGATTCTGTTTTTTGATGCAGACCTTTTGGCGGCCGAAGCTGGCCGAGACTTCAAAGGCCAAGTGAATGACGCCAAGTCCCGCTGACTTCAAACGCCAAGTCAATGACGCCAAGTCCCGCTGACTTCAAACGCCAAGTCAATGACGCCAAGTCCCGCTGACTTCAAACGCCAAGTCAATGACGCCAAGTCCCGCAAACTTCAAACGCCAAGTCAATGACGCCAAGTCCCGCTGACTTCAAACGCCAAGTCAATGACGCCAAGTCCCGCTGACGGCCTCTCCCGTCGCTGCCGCTCCGCCAAGACAAGTCGTCACTGGTGATTCTCTTCTTTGAAGCCTCGCTTGTCTTTGGCGGCTCCGGTTCGTTCCGTGTTCGCTTCGCTAACGTGTCGTCTCTTCCTTCCTGCAGAACCTGACCACAAAGACGCGGATGACGCGTGGCGGGCGATGACTCACGGATGGCGAAACGCGGTGACGCGTGGCGACGTGTTTGGCGAAGGACGAAGCGCGTCTCACGGCGGTTCGCTACCGTGACCGCGCCACTGACCGTCACTGCGCTGCTATGGTGCATTCCTTCCTTCCTTCGTTTCCTTCGTTCGTTTCCTTCGTTCGTTTCCTTCAAGGTTTCGGTTCTAATGTTGTTGCTGTCTTCCTGCAGAGCGTACGAACGACTTACGGCGGCGCGTAGCACCTAGCACGACATGACGGATGACGCGTCTCACGGGCCGACGACGCGTCTCACGGGCCGACGACGCGTCTCACGGGCCGACGACGC